TATGTGTATATATGTATATATGTATATATATATGTATATGTATATATATGTGTATACGACCAAAACACCAAAGAAAATGAGAATCTCTTCTTTTAATTCAACAGGTGTGTTTTTAGAATTCATTTATAGGATATCATAAAGGGATATCATTTTGTTATCGCTCCTGACCATTTTACAAAAACATGAAGACCATGATGGAATTGGTTTCAACTCTCGGGGGAATATATAAGAAATGGCATCAGTGATCAATCATTTTGAGTTTTAATGTGTTTATTGTCATTCATTGTAATTTGAGCCACAGATGGTGTTCAAACAAGGAATGCGCGTTTATGCTCATTGTGCTATTGGTTGCATTGTTCTTCGATACGCCAGCGGACACACAAACAAGAATCAAAGAGGCAACGACTATAATCGACAAAACGCTGTGATTCTCTGTCAAGTCATATCTCATATTCATGGACTATTATGTTGCCTTTTTACAAGCCCTGTAAAGAAAGAAGTCAAGTATTAAATGCATTATAAAGAAACGAAGGTTGAATATCCTGTAAACTATTTGATTTGGCTGCAAAATATTTACTCCAATGTAGATTTTAAGACCTCCTGTTTCTGAAATGTCTCAAAATGAATCGGCTTTCTTTGTAAAATCCCTCAACATGTTTATAGTGCTTTTAACCGTGAAGTTTAAAACTGTTAGCTCTGTCAGCACTGCTGCCACTGGTCGCGCTGTTAGCACCGTTGCTATCCGCCTGCTCAGGTTTATGTGTTCAGCGCCGTGTGCAGGCAGTCCTGCTGTATGGATTGTAGCTGCTGAGGTAGTGGAGCAATAACACATTACGTAAAATCGAAGAACCATACAACAATTTCTAGGTCTGAGCACAAAAAGGATCAATTGCAGATATCATTTGATACTACTTGGTACTAGTTTATTTCTGCTTATTCACAAAAGGTATAGATACCGAGCCCTATCTAACCACAATGTAAAGTAAAAGGTGTATCTCTGCAGAAGCATCATTCAAAGCCTGTAAATTGACCTACAGTTAGTTCTGCCCTCTGTTGACAGAGCTGATAAAACCATGAGAAGTCTAATACGGTAATGACGTTTCCTCACCATGTGCTACGGCCAGGGAGCCAGAAAGGTCCATGTAGAGCATGAGAGATGCTGTACTTGTAGGTTGGTTGAGTTGAACAATCTTAGCCTGTTTTAAGTCATATGCATTCTATGACCTAACCTAAATGAAATGCATTGTGATGTACCGATTCTCAGTGGCGTAGTGCAGTGTGTGTATGAGGCTGCCAGCCCAGCCGTGGAACCTGCAGGACGTCAGCAGCTTAGCTTCAGAGCAGGAGAGGAGAGGGAGGGAGGGTAAATAAATAAGACCATAAAGGATGCTTTGAGCCAGGCGGAGAGGTGGAGAGTAGAGGGGGCTCCGGTCAAACAGTCCCCAGGCTTGTTGGAGGCTGCTGGCTGCATTGCAGAGGGATAGGGAGCTAGCTGGGGTGTCCAGGGAGGGAAGGGGGGAGAGCGAGGAGAGGAGAAGGGGGTTATAGGAGACAGAGAGGGGAGCTGTGGAGGAGAAGCTCAGCAGCATCAGTCTACCAGCCAGTCGGGACAGTGTGACAGAGGGGGAGAGGAGAGAATGATTTAGGCTCTGCTGCAAACAGGGGATGCAGAGACGAGTTAATACTGCAGCACGGGACAGAGGAAGAAGAGGGGGGGAGGTGAGGAAACCTGGGGAAGACTCGTTGCAGGGCGCAAGGAGGAAATCAGACTCGAGGACCCCACTTTGGCCCGCGGTCTTCACCTTCACCATCACTTTGGCCCCATGCTGATGGAAATCAGGAGCATGGATGGAGAGCACCAGAGGCAGAGACCGGACTAGCTACTGTCCCCAACCTGTGAGCTACAGACGTAAGACTATACCAGCATCAGCTGCTGGTTGAGCACCTCTGATCCCATCTCAGCTGGGGGGCTTCATGCCCTGGGACAGTCCTGGGAGATAGAGGGAGGAGGTGGGGGAGGAGCAGGCAGCGGGGAGGCTGGCTCAGGAAAGTGGTGGAGGGTAGAGGTTTCAGCTGCCTGCTGTATTTTTGGATGCGGGATCTCCTGAATTAAGTGAGCAGGCTGGAATAAAGATGTAGTGTGAGCTAATAGAAGGGGGGGGGGGGTACAGAACAAGGAGAGTGCTGTGCTGAGGAGAGTAGAGGACGTCCCGGCTCAACGGACGGACCAGACGGAGATTTGGGGGGAGTCCTCAGGGGGAGACAAAGACAGAGGGTCCACTGGATCAGGAAGGTAAGGCTTTTAAAACATGTTCTGTCTTCATGATGTAAACTGCTGCTACTAGCACAGAAAGACGAGACACATCTGTGTTCTGGTGGTCCGCATTAAGGACTGTTTATGCATCTAAACTGGGGTTTAGGATTAAATCAATAGTTGTTAAGGTTTTGGAAAAGAGAATGAATGAAAGTACTCGCATGAGATCAAACCTGTTCAAGACGGACATCAACTGAACAGAAGTTTCAGGACCGTTAAAATAAGCAACTTTAGTCAGAAACATACAAAGACTCGAGTGTGTTCTGGCTTGTGTGGTGAATGTGTTTGCAATGTGAGGTAGAGAAAATATTTCTTCTGCTTGACACTGAGTGTGTGTTTGAGTGTGTGTGTGTGTGTGTGTGAGAGTGTGTGTGTGTGTGTGTGTCAGTGAGTGTCAGTGAGTTAGTAAACTAATTCACTTGAACAGGACTACATAAATTCCAGAACTGCTGCTCTTTCTGCTTTAAAGAGGGAAGTTATAAAATGACTCAGTAATAGCTGAGGAATAGGTGTGTGTGTGAGAGAGAGAGAGAGAGTGTGAGTGTGAGTGAGTGAGTGAGTGAGTGAGTGAGTGAGTGAGTGAGTGAGTGTGTGAGTGTGTGTGTGTGTGTGTGTGTGTGTGTGTGTGTTGCCTCCTGGCATGTACATGCGCTGCTTTTTCCCTCTCTGGAGGCAGACGGTGACCGGTAGGAAACGGTTGACAGGAACGCCTCAGAGCGGCCGTTTGAAGGCTTCTGCCTTCTCCAAAGAAAGCGCCGCCCTGTTTGACTTTCCGTGGCATCACTGCCATGCCGGACCTGCCGGGTCTGGTTGCTTTTTACACAAAGCCTGCTAGTATTTGACAGGCTGCTTATGAGACCTCAGGTGAAATAGATTATAAACGCCATGTTCCAGTCAGAAATAACAAATTCTTCTTCCTACAAATGTAAAGTTAAATTCATAACCACTAGAAAACACCCTTGCTCATTTCAACACAGTCAGGGATTAGCAGCTACAGCCTCACTTGGTCTGGTGTGACCGTGTTTATTGGGGTGGCTACTGTTTAGTTTAGATCGTCTAAACTTATCACTTTGTTCTACTTATTCTCCTGTTACACTGTGTTTTACTCTGCCACAGATTTAAAGACAACGTTTGTTACCTGGAGCGTTAGAATCTCATTAGAATGCATATTTAGATTGATGTTAGGTTTCAAAGGTAGTTATCACAAGTTGAAAGATCGCTAAACTGAGCGAGTCACCACAAGACGTGAGTGGAGGACCAGAGGCTACACTGGGCCCATTTCAATAGAAGGTATACAAATGACTTCATCAAACACAACTGACATGCAATTCAGACATTACTTTCTTGTGTTTGTTTTGAATGGTGATCCTGTGACTCACATCTCCTCAGCTACATCATTTCCTTCATTATGTGATGAGAAATGTAAAAGATGATTTAGTGCTGCACTACCAGGAGAGATGTGGAGGCACGGAGAGAGCACGCTGAAGGCAAATGACCCTGAAGTCCCAGACATTTCTTTTTTGTTTACAGTTTTTTTATTCTGTATTTTGTGTTTCACATCATAACTCTCTCCTCATATTAAAAATGTGTTGTGTTTGCTGGCCCGCATTGATAATGTCAAGGCTAACATTAGCAGGAAGTGAGGAGGTGAGCTGGCAGGTTAATTGGTGTAATCCATCACATATTCAATGTTGTTCATGTGATGAACATGAACATGTAGGGCCTGTCCTTAGACACGTAGACACGTTAGTTCCCTTTTTGTGTGCTCACCAACCGCACGTCCTCAATACCTCTCAGCTCATCCTGTCATCTCTCCCTCACTTCCTGCCATCGGACCTCCACGTCTGCCTTCTCACTGGGTATGCTGCTGTAGAGAGACAATGTTTCTGAATGAAATATTCATTTTGAACAACATTATAAGGACAGGTGCATAGAAGAATATGTGAGAAGATTCCAAGATGACCAAAAATGTCTTGGCATGTCATAGCACAGCATATGTATTTCCACTCCAATACACACAGCTTGAATGTAGCAAAAAGCTAATACACACTATTTTGGTTTTCACTGTCTCTGTTCTCTTTCAGTGACACCGCTGTGATGCAGCATTATACACTGTGACACTGTTACACTGTACACTGTATACTGTGACACTGTGACACTGTTACACTGTGACACTGTTACACTGTGACACTGTACACTGTATACTGTGACACTGTTACACTGTGACACTGTACACTGTGACACTGTTACACTGTAACACTGTACACTGTATACTGTGACACTGTGACACTGTTACACTGTGACACTGTAACACTGTACACTGTGACACTGTTCACTGTGACAATGTTACACTGTGACACTGTAACACTGTACACTGTACACTGTGACACTGTTCACTGTGACAATGTAACACTGTGACACTGCTGCTCAGCAGCAAACAGCCAACAGACAGTTAGAGAGCGGCTGGTGAACGTTCAGCAGCAGAAGAGACGGATCATTTTATCATCTTTTGAGAAAAATAAAATAGAACATGACTCAAAATAATGCATGTTTTCCTCCCAGACGTTATTCTGTCCAAGTAACAATGAAACACAGTAAATATCACAGGAAGTGAAAGATCATCATCATAATCTTATCCCATTAGACTTCTGAGGGAAGTTCTCATAATCAGCATATGAATAATTGAGTTATGGTCAGAAACATGTTTTGGTCACAGTGACCTTTGACCACCAAGATGTATCAGTTGATCCTTGAGCCAGATGTGATGAATACAGCTGCTGTGTGCTTTTCTTTGAGACTGACCAATACAACAGATAGAAGTACCACAACACAGAAGTAGAACATTCTAGAACTCACAAAACAATGGAAAGCATCTCCTCCCCTCCATCCTTCTGCTGCTGCTACGACCAGATGACACCTGGTGACAGTCATAAGGGGGCGTGGCTTCCAGTAGATTACATTCAGTGTCAACAAACAGTTGTAAGAATAATGACAGTATTTTTTTCTGCTGATCCATATATATATCTATCTATCTATAGATATATATTAAAAAATGACATACAGTGCAATATTTGACCTTGTGCTCCTCCTTCTACCTCTTTCTGACGAGTGTTGTGTACTTACACACTAACAGGGCCACTGCCACAGAAAGAAGGATCACAGATTTTAAATGTTTTAAACTGTTTAGTGTTTTGCCTTGGACAAACTATATTTTAAAAACTGGGCAAATAAAAACATAATTTCATTTAACTGCAATTGTAATTTGGTAAACCATTTTTTAAATAAATGCACCATCATATCTGTATACCTGAAGTGTCCAGTCTGAGTGACTACCGCCCCGTGGCACTCACACCCATTGTGATGAGGTGCTTCGACAAACTGGTTCTAGAGATTTAGAGTCCAAAGAATGAGGTGAAGGAGGGTTTAGCAGCAGCTTTTTTTGTGTATGTATTTTTTCTTTTGTAGCAAAATGAGACTGCAGTTCTGTGTTAAACAATGAAAATAAATGAACCTCGTAACCTTGTAGCTTTGAATATGTCAGGGATTACATTTGACCTCATGGGTGGGATTTTCCAACATTTTGACTAACAGTCAAGAGAGCCGGATAAGAAAGACAAAACAGGGCTGTCAGTGGAAAGAACCTCTAAATGACAGTGATGACACGTAAAAACAATGCTTGAGAAGGAGACTCTTTAGTGTCTTTTCCAAAACCTCTATTAACAAAATCCCCCTTTCTGTAACAACCTGGAGAGCACATAGACTGTTTCTCCAGTGCCAGGATGTAAATCTATACATCCACTCAGAGAGGTGGATACATGTGTCTGTGCTAGTGTGTCCCACAGAGCTGAATGTAACAGAGATATCTGTCTGTCTCTCCTGCGTTGGCCTGGCCAGGTGGGTTGGGGGTGGAGGGTGAGGAGGGCCATGAAAAGACAGAATTGTTCCTCCGTTTTGACTGTTCCAAGCACTGGCCAAACCCCGGATGGCCTTTAATTAGAACTATTAACCCAGAGAGAGGGAAGAAGGGAGCGCCAGAGGGTCTAATGGGAGGAGGGGCGAGGAAGGAGGGAGGAATATGAATGAGGGTAGAACAGATGGGCAGATGGTGTTCAACTGTAAGTTCTTCATTTAAAGAGCTTGAATGTCCACCAAATCTAAGCCAGATACTCTTTGACAAGGTATTCTGTGCAGTGTATATGAAAACCAGGTTGTCTTTTAAGTATTTACTCTCTGCGCAGAGAAGGTTCAATCATCACAACAGAATGTGTACAGTCTCAGTGAGGAAGGACCAAGACAAAAGTGAACAAGCTTTCTTTATACAGAATGAGCAAAGGTGGGGGCCGACGGCCAACGTTACAGACATTTTGATTTCAGACTGATAGGAACAACAATGAAAAACAAACGTCCAGCAACCACAACAAGCGGCCCAAAGGCCTTGGTGCTGGAACATTCTCATACAACACAGTTAGTTATCTTTGTGAACAGAGAGGGAGAATTCTTCTTCTGCACAACAGAGACACCGTGAAGTTACCTATGCATGAATACGATATACTGAGTAGAAATATATACTAAGTAAAAATTGAGCATTACAGATCCTGATGCCTGAATCATTCAGTAAAGTTCTATAAACCCAAAAGCAGTCTCCGTGTCCTGGCCAGTTAAAGCCTTCAGCTCAACTACTGTTGTAATACAACTATAGTGGAGGTCAATAGTGGGTTTAGTACTCATACTAGTATCAGCAATAGTTCCATAATTATTAGTAGCTGTAAATAACTGCTACACTGAACAGTTCTCTTTTGGCATCATGTCTCCATGATGTCAACGGTTGATGCTGGTGCCTTTTAGCTGATGGTGGCCGGTAAAATCTTTTGTATAAAAAACAGGAAGTGTTGCATGGTCTCTGGAATCCAGAGGCCCCAATATCTGTCCAACCTGACTTGTACAAAAGACCTGTGTTGATACGTCACCCTTTCATGTAGTGAATAACATGCTCAAGCTCCTCATGTGTATGTCCATACGTGGATTCAAGTAGCAAATGTTGTGCAAAACTAAGTAGCATTGCTATAAATGAAACTATTTATTCTTGTGAAAGTCAATTCAAACACAGTTTACCCACTTTCAGTGTTACTTCTCTCTTTCCCTGCCTTCTCCTTCTCCTTCTCCTTCCACTTTCACCCTTTCTATAAAATAAACTTCTCATTTCTGCTCTCCTCTTACCTGATCTTCACTCCAGTAAATCCTTCAACCTGTCCCTGAACATGCGTCCTCTTACTGAATGATCCTCACTTTGACATCTGTTGGGGTCCACACTACCCCACATTCTCCTCCACCTCCAGATGCCCTCTCGCTGCAGGAATGCGCTGAACATCGTGGTCACCACCCTTTTTGCTGCGGTGGTCCTCTTCACCATTCTGCTGGCCTATGTCACAGGTTAACTTGTGAATTTCAATGATATACTCATAGACAAACATGTATATGAGAATCAAAACAAGTGATGGTCACGATGATGATGATGATGATAACAGGTGACGTTTTTTGGTTTGGTTTTTCTTAACTTCGTCTCTACTGTGTTTCTTCCTGATAAAGGCTACCAGTTCATCCACACTGAGCAGCACCACCTCTCCTTTGGCCTCTATGGTGCCTTCCTTTCCCTCCATCTCCTCCTCCAGAGCCTTTTCGCCTTCCTGGAGCATCGGCGGATGAGGAGCCCCTCAAGGCCACAGCACCTCCGACGCTCCGTGGCTCTCTGCATTGCTGCCTACCAGGAGGACCCGGACTACCTGAGGAAGTGCCTGCGCAGTGTTCGCCGAATCTCCTTCCCTGGGCTGAAGGTTGTGCTGGTGGTGGATGGTAACCGGCCAGAGGATCACTACATGGTTGACATTTTTCAGGAGGTGATGGGCGGGGCTGACCAGGCTGGCAGTATGGTGTGGAAGGGAAACTACCACAGTGATGGGAGTGGAGGAGGAGTCGGAGGTGGAGGGAGGAGCACAGTGCACATGGAGGAGGCAGCACGAGTGGCTCGGCTGGCCAGAGGCTGCCGCTACTCCTGTATCATGCAGGAGTGGGGAGGGAAAAGAGAGGTGATGTACACTGCCTTTAAAGCACTGGGGGACAGTGTGGATTATGTGCAGGTAAGGACACCGAAAATAGTATGCATATTTGAGGGACCACATCAAAAAACATTTTAGAAGTTTTAAAAAAGGTTTAGAGGGCCACTTGACCAATTTTACACATTCACAAGATCTGTTTCCTCCCCATAAGGTATACTACACTCAGCCTGTAGCAACATTTATATAATCTCTTGTATGTCTCAAGGAAATTTGGGAAATCTGAGAAAATAACCCTAATGATAACAAGGGTTACCTCGGCTTGGGCTTGAGACTTCCTGTTTTCAACAGACAGCCTGTGTTACGAAGTGTATGTGTGGAGTAAGGATAATACAGTGTACTCCATTATTCTCTATTCCATTTTGAAACCAGAAAACAAGAGTAAAACAGGAAATCACATTTACCTCAAAAATACAATCACTTGAATCTAAATTCAAAGAACTGTATTTATTCAAGTTTTTGCAAAAAGATTACATTTGAACACATCATGATAATGTTAGAATTCCCCTTCGCCCAATACTCATTTTAACTGAATGGAGCATGAACTTAATATAATGTTAATCAATGGCACCACCCATTAACCTTAGCTGCACGCTCCATGCAGGACTGTGTGGCTTACCGGCTGCTAGCAGCTAACGCTAGCTAGCTCTCGTCCTTTGTTGTTCACAATGGAGCGGAGAAACAATAGGTTGCATCCTCCAGATGCAACTACATTGAGTTTACTGCGTCCCAAACACATTTTCTATCGTTCCCGGGACGACGGGTCTCGAGCCCTCACGGCTCGACATGAGTGTATCCCAGGCAGATAGTTTGTAGTGAAATTGATCTCAAAATGGTCACAAATGTGTATTACATGATCTACAAATGAAGAATACGATTTACAAATGTCTGCAACAATTTGTATGTAATTTTGGGTCTTCACAAATGTGTGTTTCAATCTACACTTACATTTGTGCATGGAGCTGTCTCCAGCTCCACACAGATGCACAAATTCATGCTGTGGTTAAGGACTAGTGGAAAACTGGGACATCTGGTCTTTCGGTGAAATTCTGTGTAATTTGGGAAACAAAACTTTCTGAATTGACAGATTAGCTCTTCACCCCTTGATTAGAACACATACATTTACTCACTATATACTCTATGTAGTTTCCTGTAAATGTAAATGTATGGTTAGAATAAGCTCCTGTTAGGTGTGGACCCTCCCTATACGTAAAATACACCTAGATGCCGCATTTGCCGCTTTATCCCGTTGCTGCGATACATCAACGTTGCCGCGATACATCAACGTTGCCGCCATATTGGAGCAGGCAGGACTGTCCTGTAAACAAATAGTGATGGCGAGTCTACATTTCTCAAGCTATTTCAATGTGTCGTTTCAAGAATTCAAGGGTCTCATGATTCCAAAATGGTGACAAAATAAAACCTGAAAGAATGAAAGAACACCCACTCTCAAACGTTATTCCACTGCAAGACCTGTAATCAGTGCAGAAAGAAGGAATTAACACATTTCTCTGCTCAATGCTTTGATCAGATTCGACCATCTTTGTCAATACATTAGCCCATCATGGATTGTCCTAATAAAAGCTTGTCATCTTGTAATGTCACTGGTGTTTATGTTTTGTTGCTGTGTGGTTTGTAACAGTGGAAAAGAGAGTCTGTCCTTTTCCATTGCGCTGTGTAGCTACAGCATTGAATTCAGATTATTTTATCTTCCAGAAAGTTTTCTTGTATTAAGTTAACCGCAGATTTTGGCAGTAGGCCAAAAATTGACGACCAATTCAACTGTGAACATAGGGACGGCTGAGTGTGTGTGGCCAACAATAATCACATTACAAAGCCATCAATGGAGGACAATTTATATTCATCTGCACACTCTAACCAGATATCATTTAATTAAGTCAGCTGTATTAATGGTGCTTTGGATATCTGTCCTGCTTCTGTGCTGGCTCATACTGATGTCAACATTCCTCTCAATGAAATAAATAATACTGAACATTGTTTGCATACTATGAATGCTGACAATGTTTAAGTCAGACTTTTAATTTAGTAGAAATACCAGCTGCACTATAAAGTACCATAAGGTAAATGTGCATCTATGGGTGCCTTTCCTTTGAATACGTATGTGTTGAGTCTTCACATAATATCACACCCTTAATGATTCTCAATACAAAATTCAGAGCAGAGGGATTGCCTCTCCCTGGCTCTCATATTGGCAACGGCAGAGGTGGCTGCTAGCAGCTAATGGTGCTAGCAGCTAATGGTGCTAACAGCGTGACCAGTACAAAGAAGGGCAACAGGCATGCAACTAACTATGCACAAACATGCAGTTGCGGCTGGCCTGGCGATGTAAACAAAGAAAAGAAAAACTCGGATTACAACACACATAGAGGGAGAGTGACTTCATTCTCTGCTCAGTTAGACATTAATCCTATATATTTTTACATTGCAAATAGTTGTTTGCTGCTATGTTGCTCTGGATATCGTATTGAGAACCACATTTTAATTCTAATCCTAAATTTAAACCAAACAGGCATTCAAAATCTTTGAACTATATTTTAAACTTTTGTGTCTCACATAAAAGCCATTGAACAAACAATAGCCACCCAAAACAACAGAAAATCAACATCGGACTTAACGGTGCAAGATACGAGATTGGTAGCATTTCGATTGCCTCTCAACGGCTCTCAACATGGCGACGCCTCACAGTGCTAGTAGTGCTAACGTTACAAACTACAGCAAACCTGCTGACAGAGCTAACAATGTTTACCTGAGAGGGAACCGGAAGGGTGTGCGCAACGCAGTGGCGGGCCGTGCATTCTATACCTGGGCCTTCAGTGCTGTCCGACTACAGTTCCACCTCCTAATAACCTCATTATGAGCCACAGCTACGGTTATTTGTTTCTAAGGGTGTAATAATACACGTATTCGTATTAAACCGTTCGGTACGAGGCTTATGAACCGAACAATACGTTTGAATAATACTAGTGCGTTTGGAAAATGCAGAAGCTTAAATTGTGGGAAATATAATGTTTTCGTTGGACTTTGCTCACGTAGGAGACAACGGGCTGTGACCTCTGAACCCGGAACAAAAATAACCAAAACACAGCTGAGGCCCCGCACTTCTGGGAGGCTACGCTAAACTAGCTTAACAAACAATAACTCTGCACATGACGGGATGCTTCGGAATTAACGGACAATGCATATAGTCCAAATCTATATAATTAACACAATGACAACAACAAACTCACAAGAACCAGTCACATATATTCATATGACAACAGAGCAACAAATCAATCCAGCAACACTGCAGCGGAACACGCATTCTGCTACACACTCGAGGGCCATTCAGATATTAGATGTAAAAAAACAAACCAAATGCAGTTCACTTAAAGACAAACTCCATCCTCCTTTCTCTGTTGACTAAGAGTTTAATCACACGGTTAAATCCCAACTCACAAATCTGTTTCTCCTCCTTCAGCCATTGAGTGTTAAAAAACAAAGCTAGGTAAAAAATAATAAACTACACCAAGCAAAATGCAAAAAATGTCATCATTTCTTCCATATCTTTCAATTTGAACTCTTACTACTCCGACTAAGCTTTGCTGGCTACCTTAAATTTCGTTTCACAATAGTCACGTGCTCGCCCACTGACCAATCACAGCACACGCTGCCCCTCACTGCAGAGCTGCACTGGAAACTGAGCTGCACGTAATGCTGACGTAGTTGTAGACCAGCTAGCAGGCTCTGACACGTCAAAGAATACGCCCAACATGTCAAACTAAAGATCTGATTGGTTGAACACTATGACAATCAACAATATCGTCCCCATTCACTTAAACTGCAAAGGGATTCACTTGTGAGTCTGCAGGCCTCTGCCTCTCTTCTTACCTAGAGACACAGAGGTGAGATCTGATTGGATAAAAGCTCTACTTAAAACAAGCTGCACTGGAAGCAGAGCAACTGAGGAAGACAGTAGCTGTGCAATGAGAACATAAGATAATGGGAAACATATTTTTATAAATTATAATACATGTAGTGTATTTAAGAAAAATTATTAAATTATAAAATAGCTATAACTTTGTGATTGTGTTTAGGCCAGCAAAGAAGGCCTTGCTGGCCCTGACGCCCACCACTGGCGCATTGTTTCCGCAATGACTAGTTGGTCGTGCCGGCCTTATGAGTTGTAATCGCTATATGAGAGCAGCGAAGATCAGCGACCCTGGCCTAGCAAGTGGGGCATCCTCACGTGCACAAACATGCACTTTAAGCACATGCGACCAGCCAGGCCCGGCTATGGCAACCATGAACAGCATAAGTGGTTACGGATAAGGGATGGATCTTTACATCGCAAATAGTTGTTAAACAACAAACTCATTCTTCATATCCTCTGTGCCCTTGCTGTGGGTCAATGGTCATGTCCACAGCTGACCCAGTTCAGTGTAGGTAGAATGAACCAGCTGGGATCTGTCAGCAGCCTCTCATTTCTCTAATGGATTTCACTCAGTGTTGCAACACCTGCAGCCTTAACTTGACCAATGGATGTATATTTCTGAGTCTGTGACGCGATGCATTATTGCCACCCTGTGCTTGTTGTGTCCTTTTTCAGGTGTGTGACTCAGACACAGTTCTAGACCCAGCATGTACCATAGAAATGCTGAAGATCCTTGAGGAAGATCCAATGGTGGGAGGGGTCGGTGGAGACGTGCAGGTAAAATACAATACAATAATGAAGACCCAAGACTATAGATGTTTGGTTTGAAAGTCAACTTAAAAACTCTTGGGCCACCAAGGGAGTTGATTGAAAACTCATTACTACATGTCACGAAAGCACATTTTCCTTTTCTTCCTTTGTTGATTTATGTTCCCTTTACTTTCCTATCCTCCAGATCCTTAACAAGTACGACTCCTGGATCTCCTTCCTCAGCAGCGTACGCTACTGGATGGCCTTCAACATCGAGCGGGCCTGCCAGTCCTACTTTGGGTGCGTCCAGTGTATCAGTGGCCCTCTGGGGATGTATAGGAACTCTTTGCTCCAGCGCTTCCTGGAGCCCTGGTACCACCAGACCTTCCTAGGCTCCAAGTGCAGCTTCGGTGATGACCGCCACCTCACCAATCGGGTGCTCAGCTTCGGCTACAAGACAAAATTCACAGCGCGATCGCAATGCCAGACTGAGACACCGACCCAGTATCTGCGTTGGCTAAACCAGCAGACTCGATGGAGCAAGTCTTATTTCCGTGAGTGGTTGTATAATGCCCTGTGGTTCCACAAGCACAGCCTCTGGATGACCTATGAGTCCGTGGTCACTGGCTTCTTCCCTTTCTTCTTGGTTGCCACCGTCATCCATCTCTTCTACCGTGGAAGGCTGTGGAACATCCTGCTCTTCTTATTAACAGTCCAACTGGTTGGGATGGTGAAGGCCACCTACGCCTGTTTCCTGCGTGGCAGCCTGGTGATGATCTTCATGTCACTGTACTCTCTGCTCTACATGTCCAGCTTGCTCCCTGCCAAGATATTTGCCCTGCTCACCATCAACAAGGCTGGATGGGGCACTTCAGGCCGCAGGAAGATTGTGGTGAACTTCATTGGTGCTGTGCCTGTCACAGTGTGGGCTATGGTGCTGCTCGGGGGTGTGGTGTATACAATCTACTGTGAAACACAGGAGCCATTTAGTGAGACAGAGAAAGTCTTGTTGATAGCAGGGACAATACTTTACGCCTGCTACTGGCTCATTCTGCTGGTGCTCTACCTGGCAATCGTAGCCAAACGGTGTAACAAGAGGGAAGAGCAGTATCACTTGCCATATGCGGAAGCATAACCCTGCTTCCAGGGAGACTGGTAGGACATTCACACCGAGTTTGACAGCAGTGTGACTCTAGCAATGTCTCTGAACCTGTGAAATGCTAAAGTGATGAGCTGTGAATCACAAAGACTTTCATCTTCATCATTGGTGCTAAAAAGGTGTGAATCTGAAATCTGAGCAGCAGGAATCTAATCCAGTTAGGGGAGACTCAGTGATGAGTAGATCCACAGAGCTTGCCAATTTATATCATGCTTAACGGTGCTTCACATTGAAAAACCAAACCAAACGAACTGATCCAGTGTTCACACACTAAGTAACGACGTGCTCAGAAGAACATTAGTGTATGGGAACAGGTTAGCTGTAAACTGTGACAAATGGGTGCAGTGCAGTGCTTTTAATGAATATAAAGTAGGAAAAGGGACAAAATGAGACTTAGAGACATAGGTCTTGTTTATTAGTTGGTCAGTTTTTCGGGTCCCTCATTTTGATAGAGATGAGATGGGGTCAAATGCGACAGACCTGAACGTCTATAATAAATAATAGATAAAATAGCAAGGCAATTCTCTCAAGTCTAAGCACCTCTATACCAGAAAAGAAGAGGGGACCTTAGATGCATTTAGTCACAAGAGTGTGTCTCAAAGGTGTTCAGACAGAACGCAAAGCAAATTTTAGAAGTGGTGCAATTGCCAGAGTCAATTGAAAGAACTGACTGGGCATGATAGATGCTCTATGTGGCACAAAATACATCTGAGAAAGTTTCAAATGTTTAAACGTGAGTGTGATGAAGTGTGATATTTAGAATATTTTCCAACATGGAACTGACCTGAAGGTGAAACTTATCTATACTGTTTTTGTCAACGGAGGCCAATGGCTTTGAAGAGAACATAGATAACTTTAACTTTCAGGTCTGATGGCAAGATAAGGTGGTCAAATTATTTTGTTAAGGTGAGCCTTTCTTTTAGGTGGCTAAAATACATGTTGCTGCTGCCGCTGTCCACAGCAGTATATTACTTTGCTCTTGTGTCAATACTCCTGGCCGTTTCTCCAAACTGGGGGCAGGCCGACAGCCATTGACAGTAGGTAGACCTGATACATTGACTATGGATAAGTACCTCTTAGAACCCCATTTCAAAACACACGAACCATCTCTTTTACTGTTTGTGAACAATAAACATAGACTGTTTATGTGAAGACTCGGTTTGTGTTCTGCCTCAACACATCATAAAGCATAGGTTAGTCTATCTTAGTACAATACTCACATACCATATAGACATCTTTCAAAGAGTTGTTGGTTGCGGTAATCATCCAGTGGCTGTGAAGTAATATCTCTTCAAAGATTTACCTTTTCAAAACCTATACTGTTACATAGAGCACGTCCACACTACTCCGTTTCCATTTTAAATGCACATGTTTTGCTACGTTTACACTGAGCGTCTACACTACGCCGGCGTTTTCGAGCGCCGAAAACGGAGGAGTTTGAAAACTCCGGGTTGCGTTTTCGTGTGGGTGGTCGGAAACAGATAAGTTTAGAAACGATGACGCCCACACCCGCGTTCACTACTTGATTGGTTCTTAGCAGTCATGACGTGTCCTTCCCTGATTCGTCACATCCCTATCACGTGACCCGGAAGCTCACAAACAACATTGATTACCGATCGACTACCAGGTTAATTTAACATGGACAACTGATTACAGGTGTAGCTGACCTTGTTGTCTTTACTAGCAGCTGTTGTTCAGTAAAAGTCTGCATTATTACGGAGGAAGCAGCTGTTAATGGAGCGATCAGTGACCAGCAGCGTCATCACCCTACGGAGCGGACGTCTGAACTCACGGTTAGCAGTAAATGCTATTCAGTAGGACAGATAGCTAAGCCACCAGCAGAGCTACGAGTGAGAACAAACAACAACGAGTGAGAGACGTGCGTTGACCACATTTATGGACCCATAATCTAATAAACTGTTACGTGTAAGTGTTGATTTTAAAGTGAATTTGATGTGTGAGAGAGAGATAGAACATGACCTGCAGTGCTGTAACTAACGTTAAGTAAATAAAACTTTCCACGAACTGTGTCTGTTTGAGTTCATAGAGGAAGATTTTAGAGAAGATCTTAAGTATCAAACACAACCATTCATTATTAAAGACTACTTTATTACTCTGTCCTATTATTTTAGCTAAGCAACCAATCCACTTCCTGTTCATATCAACACCCACACGCATGCCCAGTGTATGTGAAGAGTCACGTGATATTCGTTTTCAGGGGTGTTAGTCTGGACGGAGATCAATTCGAAAACGATGCTGAAACGCCATGTGGACGGAGATCGTTTTAGTTTTAAAACTCCGTTTTCGTTTGAAAACGTAGTAGTATGGATGTAGCCTTAGCCCAGCGGTGTCAAACATGCCTCTTAACACCTCCAAACCCTTAACACCCATACCTTGCATCTTATGTAAATGAGAGTGAGACAACTTCCCAACCTCAATTTGGGGTCGTGGATATCCATTGTTTCAGACAGTTCATAGATTGGTTCAATCAGAAAGAGTGTAGTTTTGCTTGCATTCAGTATATGATAACACAAGAGACAGAATTTCAGGGTCATAGTGAAATTTGACAACACAAATCTGAACTTTTCTCAAATAAAGAGAGAAATAATTTTCCTGCTTGTAAAGGAAAGACGGATAAACTAGCTTTCATATCCGCGTCACTCCCAAATCCTAATTCTTAAAGGGACCGCACACAATGGATGGAGAATGGACCTGACAGTGTCAACTTTATATCGTTAAGTATGATGATAGGGTGTTGGATTGTAATTTGAAGGGGGAGAAAACATACAAACCAGAACGCACGCACATATGTAGCATGTTAGAGTTATAAATAACTTGTCCATGTGAGAAACAATAGTTTAATTTAATGACATCACCAAAAAAAAAAAAAGTTTTTTTTTTAATCCAATAATGCCAAATTATTTGGGGGGGCTGTAGAACATTTTAGGGGGGCTTCAGAACAGAACCATAGGGTACATCCCAAGTCTCTTATTTGTCATTTCCTCAGGCCTCGCTCCTCGCTTGAACCGGACGTTGTTCTGCTCTGGCCGTCCCAAAGCTCTTATTTCTCAGTTTAAGTCACCAGTTGGTCATAGTTTCATTCAGGGATTCAGAGATTTTGTATGTGGTCACTTTTATATATTGCCAAATTATGTAACAGTATAGTTTGCTAAAGGAAACTATTCTCTTAACTTTGGACATTTGTGTCCTTTTATACAGTAGATGAAACCAGTTGATTCATTCCATCAACGGTGTAAAGACTGAAGACCAAAGACATTTCTTTTGAAAACTGAAGCTGCTCTCTAGCTTCTCCAGAGGCCGATTAAAAGCCAAATTAACTGATTCAATTTGAGCAATTAAGAGTTTACATCCAATAACACGAGAGAAGAGCGTAAGAGCTTTTTTTTTTTCTTTCATCTTTTTAAAGAGACACATTTAGTTTTGAAGGTACTGTATGTTTCAAAAACTGAACAACTGGTCCATTTGTCAGGTGTGAGCACCATCAGCACATCTGTGCCTCCACTGACACATCTCTTCATTTCTCTTTGTGCCATTTAGGTTATAATCGTATTGATTTATTTTGGGTGGGCTGTATGAATTTAAACTTGAAAGTTCAAACACATAGATGGATAGTAAAAAGGAAATTGTGTTGAATAAGCTTGATTTTCCTTTCTGACGGCCAACCAGTGATGCCAGAGGTCTTGTTCCTTGACCTCTGCTGCTTCCATCTCTGGGCATCACAACATGCTGGAATTTTCCAAAGTCATTAAAAATGCTTCCTATTTCGGACACAGTCCTCCCATTTATTCCAAATAGAGAATGCCGCGTGATTTAAATGACTACATTGACATTTCCCGATGTTATTTTGTTCACTGTATTGTATGCTCACTTTAAAAAAAATAGAGATATATATTTCACAGAACCGGACTAGAGCATCAATGTTTAAACATTAATACTAAGACATAATATCCTGCACCCAAACAGGCTGTAATGAGCAATCTTCTTTTGTTATAATTGATCTTGTGTTATTGGAAGTAAACTCTTAATTGGGATGAAGCAGCAGTTGCTCAAATGGAATCAGTTGAATCGGCCTCTGGTGCTGAGAAGCTAGAGAGTGCAGCTTTAGTTTGAAGTGAGAGGCATGGATGTGTTTGATTTAACAGTGAGGAAACTGTCAGAAACTGGATACTGGATAATAAATAGTTGATTTTAGCAGACAAATAATGCAGTTTTTCTTTTATACCCAAGGATGTAGTGGAGGGCAGTTTGTAGGAAATACATTTAGCATGTATAAATCTAAAGAAAGATGACAGGACAAGGTTTTCAAGCACAAAATAGTGCTTTCACAGCAAACTGAAAAATATCCTTCCTTTCACAAACTGAAGCTTTCCCAATTGTAGTTGTTTTTTTTGCGTTTTGCCTTCATTCAGTAGTTACTGTAGAGAGGCAGACAAGAAATGCAGGGAGAGCACTGGAATGACATCCATCAATTATATGTATGTATGGCCACCAGACGCACCAATTAACTCGACACCGTTAACCCTGTTTACGTCATTGTAAGTCTGTCCTATTCTTAGTTCTACACAAAACAATCCCAGAAACTACTGACTGGCTTTCCATGCAGTTTGCTGTGAGTCTATTGGTCCCCAGAGGATGATTTCACATGCTGAGCCTACATCCTGTAGGTTTGTTGAGCACCATCATCCGGGCAAAGCTCCCACAGTTGGTCAATCACAAGGTACTAAATATTGAAAACTAGAGGCTGGATTTTAACGCAACTTGCTGTAGATATCGGTAAATATGAATGGTCTCCTGAGGATTTATTGTTTGTAATTGCCATCCTCAGGATAGAGTGTACATTTCCATTCACCTGTTTTTATGTTCATTTACTATTTCTACATAAAGAAGTGAAGACAATAGATGAAGTATTTTTATGCCTGCCTGAGATTGAAATGTTGGTGTTTAAAAATAGAGAAGATGCAATAATGCTTCTGTTTCTTGTAAGCAAAGCATTACTGTAATGCTGCCACTCTGAGGGGGTTATTTTACCAGACTTTTAAAAATGTGCTTAAAATCTATAGTATATTGGCATACCTATTGTCATTTATATATCATATGACAGTGTGTGATGGACTTCCAGAGACGTCTAGATAGGCTTGAGTCGTATTTGCTAACAGCACCATGTATTACACGTATCAACATGTATCACCACGAATCACCACTTACAACCACAAATCACGTCTCACCATGTAATCACACGTATCACTATGTATCCCCACAGATCAGCCCATAGTAATATTTCACTATGTATCCCCACAGATCAGCCCATAGTAATGTTTCACTATGTGTACCCACAGCTCAGCCCATAGTAATGTTTCACTATGTATCCCCACAGATCACCCCATAGTAATGTTTCACTATGTATCCCCACAGATCACCCCATAGTAATGTTTCACTATGTGTCCCCACAGATCAGCCCATAGTAATGTTTCACTATGTATCCCCACAGATCA